CCTCCCCCCTCCCCTCCCAGTGGATGTAACAAAACTTCTGCCGAGAGCCGCCCACGAGGCGGGACTTCGGAGATGACAGGTCCAGCGGTTCTTTTTCAGGGCGGGGACTCTGATGAAGGGTCTCCCAGCGACGTGAACTTATACTCCCGAGTTTGCACCTTGAATGCGATCCACGATCAAGAGCCTCGCTGGTTGCAAAGTAGCTCATTCTCCTCTGCAAACTGAGCAAACCCAAAGGGCGAAGCGACTTGGGGCACTGACCTGGCCGACTAAGATGGGAAAACACCCAGGTCTCCATTATTCTCATTTTTCTTTGCGCCCCGGTATTTCACTGTGTAGGTTAGCTATGATGTGAAATAGCCAGGTTGGTTGAGTTGCTTTCATGCCTCATGATTTCAGAGCCCCGAGGGGAGTAGTACCTTTTTTTCTGTAAAGTCGACCTTGCCTTATCGCCCACCTATTAGGAACACCAGCTCTCAGGTAGAAAGGAACCATTAACAAGAAGACCCAAATTTCTGAACGGATTGTTCCACAAGGTTACAAAGCAATGGTTTGAGGAACAGCTTTCCATAGAAACAGTGTTACAAAATGGCAGTTAGGTTTTTAAGTAGATAAAAGCTGTCTAACTCATAAAATGGTGAAAGTAATATAGTAATAAATGATTGACCAAAAAGTCAATAAAGATTTATAAAATGTTCTGGACACTGTTAGGTGTGGCACTGAGGAAATTTTAGTTATGGGCCCTGACCTCAAGAGATTGGTAATATCAATATAATTAATTAAGGAAAGTTTAAGAACACTAAAAAATTCAAATAAAATTATTTGAATGTTGGCTGAGAAAAAATAGTCTTGAGGATCCTGGAGCATATGGTGTAAACCACTGAGCACTGACTTTGGCATGGGGAGTCCTAGGCCTTGGTTCTCGCTCTGCTGTAACTCACTGTGTGCTGATTGGCCAGGTGATGGCTTCATTTCTTACATGTTCAGTTTCTTTAGCTGTAAAATGAAGCAGTTGACCTACCAGTGATCTTAAAGGTCCTTCTTAGTGCTGATAGTCCTTGGAGACATTGGATGAATAATAGATACTCTTAACATTATCTATTGGGGCCGGGCCTCTGTTAGGTATTTTTGAGGCTGTATTGGCCTCTCGCTATGGTTTGTTTCTTTAGCTGCAAGTGTATTTCAGACTCACGATTTTCTTTAACTGGAATGCCACAAATAAAATACATATATATTTTTTTCACTCAGTTGGAACAAATGACAGAAAAGAAGAAAAAAGGTTTTACTGAGGTAAATGGGTAGAAATTGGAAGAAAGGAGAATGTGGTTTGGGGGAGGGGCCAGGTGGTGAGATAGTCACTGGAAGGTATTGTTGGGTTGAACAATTCCTGAACTAAACGGCAGATGGCATCCTTGGCCCAAGACTGTTTACTGCCTGCTGGAAGGGGTAGGACAAAGTGAAAGGAAGCCCCTTTAGGATTAAGGGGTAAGGGGTAAGAATGAACAATTTGCTTTTTATAAAGGTGGTCACAAATTGTATATTTTATACTCTGGCAGTATCTATGTGCAGTAGTATGGTGCAGTTCGCTCCCTTCAAAGAAGAACATGAATGTAGCACTACTTGGCTGAAAAGTTTTATTTAGCATTATTACAGTGGAATCATTTCCCACATTTCCAAATATATCCCAAGCCTCTGAAATACGAGTGCAGTTGGGAGGTAGATTTTTTGGCATTTCATTTCTGTAAATGGTTCTCTTTACCATCATTCAGCAGAATTAGAATAAATGATAGATGCAGTACTTTTCCTTTTAATTGGTGTTGAACTTTGTGGGAACAGTATTGAAGTGAGACAGGGTGACAGAGGGGAAAAAACATCCTGGTGGGAATCATGAGGCCTCCTGGCCCTGTAATTAACTTTTTGTGTGGCGTTGCATGAGTAATTGAACCTCTCTGTAATTCATTTTATTAAACCATGGAAAGAGGAGATTGGACTTGATCATTTCCAAACTGCTTAGTTGAGCACAAACATCCCATGGTATGTTACTAGGCTTTCTTTAAAGGAAGAGCTTCATGGTTTAATAAATTAGCAAAACACTTCTCATTTTATCACCTTGGGGAGTCACAATGTGCATATTAAAGTTGTTGGAAATTCTTATGTAAAGTAACTTGTCCCAAACTTTTGAATCCAAGAGCCCCTGTTTATCAGAACATTTGTTGACATCTTAGGAACTCTAGAGTTTGATGGAATTCTATTTGAGAAGCATTGGGTTCTACACTAATAGTCAAAACACTTAGGTTGTAGCCCTGGCTTGACTATTTTAGGCATCACTTGACATCCCTTAGCTCTGTTTCTCCATCTGTAAAATGGGGATAGCACTGATGATTTTATAGAATTGCTGTGGCAGTTAAATGAGACCATGCTTGTAAAGACTATCACTGTCTCACACATGGCACATGGTTAATGTTTAATATGAATTATTTCTTTTTCCCTTTTGACTTTAAGACCAAAATTCTTGTTACGTTTTGTGACGGATGAGAACAATGGGATATGGATAGAATTGCATACTTTGAGTAAGTCCTGATTTATTAATTCCAAGTCTTAGAGTTTTCATGGGTACCGACTTGCAGTCTTTTGAATTTGTTGTGAAATCATAACGAAGTAAGACTTGTTCATATGGGACCAAAGACATAGCACTGCATGCCAATATTCTTTGGTAGTCTACATGTTTTTGTTTTGTTAATAACTTGAAAATTCATTATTTTAGATTTTTTAACTTTTCCTAAAGGATGAGGAGAAGCTACACTTTTCATAGTTTGGATTTTTTTTTTTTTTTTTTTTACTATGGGATAGGTGACTGGTTCACTTAGAGAAATAGTGCTGTAGATAATTCAGATCGCTTTTATTTAGTGTGAGAACGAATCATGCAGTTCTTTAACAATGAATTTGTTTTATCATTTGTAGTAAGACTATGCTTATGTTGAAATTACTATATGTTTTGTTTTTTAAGTATGTCATTTGAATAGTAGGAGGAATCTGCCATTGAATGTACCACACATTTGGACTTAATAAAATTTACTGAATTACATGAAACATGTGTTTGAGTCTTAAATATGAGTTCCTGTAACTTTTTTTTTTTATTTGGCCCATATCATAAAACTTGAATTGACACAGTAGATGATAATGGTTATTGTGTGGATATAGAAATGTTAGTTATATTTATTTGGTTTTTGTCATTGCTACAGCTTCCAATAAGAATCTCTATAAATACTTTTAGTAATGATACGTAATAGTATGTTGGTACTTAGCATACATGTAACTATTTGATGTGTATAACATATATAAGCAGGTATAAGTTTTGCAGTCCATTCAGTTTCCTCACTTGCTAATACAAGTAATAAACTTTCATCCTGATACAACTTGCTGTTATAAGAGAAAAACATATAGATTACTTACAAAATGATAGAATAAAATCTCATTTCAGTCCGGTCGAAGGGAAAGTTTTGACACTATTTGGCAATGTCTAATGTATGTTGATGGGCCTGATAGAATTCATTAGCTTATGCCCAGTAGGTGTGTAGTCTGAGTTTTGACAAAGTGAAATACCAAAACAAGATGGTAGGGTGACTACAGTTGTTTGTCTTATCTCCCTCCTCATAAATATCCTATTAAAGTGATAGTAGGTGGATAAAAAGGATAACCCTGAAACAACAAATAAGAAGGAGCCATCAGAGCCGGTGATTTCAAGATATTTGTAAAGGAAGAAAAGCAGATGGAGATGTGGTTATTGATGAAGCAGCACGGAGGCAGTCCCAGCTGAAGTCTGTGTGCTGAGGGGGCTGTAGTTTCGGAAGAAGCTGAACTGCTTTGCAGAACCTTAGAGAGTTTGTGGACATGTTGATGTCAGATAGGAGAGAGTGAGAGACATGTGGAGCCTGACACAAGGGGGAGCAGTTTAAGTTTTATCATGGAATAGCACACAGATGTTTCCCACGCAGGCCTGGGGCTTAGGCGATGTGCTGGTTCCTTCTGCAGAAATTGAAGAAGGTGTTTGGAGGTCAGTAGCCCAACCCGATGGTGTTGC